TGTGAGCATTAACCAAAAGGTGACTGGTATAGCTTTATTTATATCAAAGGAAAGCTTTATTAGTATCAAAGTAGACTTTAGAGTAAAATCATTATTTACAGGTAAAAGAGACACTTCATTATGATTAAAAGTTAAATTTTCCAGAAAGATATAACTATTCTAAAATCTATTTGTATCTATTAGTGTAGCTTCAAAATGTATAAATGAAATACAGAACTACAAGAAGAGACAAGTCCACACTTACAGTAGGAAATGTAGGAAATTTTAACACCCCTCTCTCTCTTTCTTTTTTTAAAAGACAGAGTCTTGCTCTGTCACCCAATCTGGAGTGCAGTGGCACAATCATGGCTAACTGCAGCTCGAACTCCTGGGCTCAAGGTATCCTCCTGCTTCAGCCTCCTGAGTAGCTAGTACTACAAGCATGCACCACCATACCTAGCTTATTTTTATTTTTGTTGAGACAGGGTCTCACTATGTTGCCCAGTTTGGTCTCAAACTCTTGGTCTCAAGCAATCCTCCTGTCTTGTTCTCCCAAAGCTCTGGGATTACAGGCGTGAGCCACCATGCCCAATCCTGTTAACACATATCTTTTGGAAATTAAATGATTAAGAATCTATCTCAAAAAAGTAGAAAAATAACTCCAAATTAAAACCAAGGAAAACCAAAGAAAGGAAATAATAAAGACAAGATCTTCCAGTAGTGGGAAACTGCCAGGGAAGGGTGGGGGTGGGACTGGCAGTGGTGGGAAACTGTTGGCGGTGGGGGGGCACACCTCATCAACAACTGTACCTGCATAATGAACTTTTGTATAGCTAACCCTGAATTGTACCCTACATATATATATTTTTTTAAATAGGAAGACTTTCATGAGATAAAAAGCATTAGTAAAGCCAAGATCTATTTGAAGGCATTAACAAAATTGTTAACTCCTGGAAATACAAAGAAAAAAATTGGGGAATGTACAAATAACCAATAGATACATTGAAATGACATGAAAACCAGATGTGGATTCTCATGCCTGTAATCCCAGCACTTTGGGAGGCAGAGGTGAGAGGGTTCCCTGAGTCCAGGGGTTCAAGACCAATCTGGGCAACCAGGCAAGACCTTTTTTCTATAATAAATCAAGAAAAAATTAGCTGAGTGTGGTGGCACATACCTATAGTTCTAGCTACTTGGAAGGCTAAGGGGGAAGGGTCACCCGAGCCCTGTTTATGAGCATGTCACTGTTCTCTAGCCTGGGTGACAGAATGAGACTCTGACTCAAACAAAAGAAAAGACATACAAAAACAATTAAACAATTAAAACAATCTAAAAAATATAAAATTTTAGATCTTATAAACATTTAAAAAACCCTAAAAAGATATTCTGAACAACCTTAATACAATGCTTTTTAAAAATTAAGGTGAAATAAATTTTTAGAAAAGTAAAATATAAGAACTAACACACACACAAAAAAATTCTAAATAGTCATATAACTTTTTTTTTGTGTGTGAGAAAGCAGGATTTATTGAGAGGATAGAGACGCTCCCACAGTGGGAGGGGACCCAAAGGGGTTGCTCGGTGTAACTAGTAAATAAATTAATTTGGTAATTAAGAACATTACTACAAAGAGAACTCCAGGTCCAGATGACTTTACCACTAAATTCTACCAAACACTTAAGGGAGAAATAGTACAATTTTTAATGAACTTTGCCAGAGAATAATAAAGAAGGGGACAATTCCCAACTTGTCCTGTGAGGCAACATACCTTGACTGGAGACCTGACAAGCACATTACAGAAAAGGAGATTACAGGCCAGTATTATTCACTAATATGGGAGCAAAATGTCTAAATAGTATTAGCAAACTAAGCCAGCATTATATAAAATGTATAATACATCATAGCCATGTTAAGTTCTATGCAGGAGTTCAAGGTTGGTTTGGTGTCTAGATAGCAATCGCTCTAAGTCATCACATTAGCAGGATAAAAAAGAAAAATACAATTATCTCCATAGTTTCATAAAAATTATTTAATAAAATTTAACATTGATTCATAATTTTAAAAAAACTGTCTCAGCAAATAGGAATTGAAGGAAATTTCCTTAATGAGATAAAGGATATTCTCAAAAAGAAAGGGGAGCAAGCCTTTGTCACTCATCTCTGGCATCAGTCTGTTTCCTTGATCTAACTCGGATCAACTAAACCTTCTTTTTGCCTAACTCTGAAAGGGGGAAATAAGTAAATCTCCAAAGTCATTAGATTTGTTTCATCACACTCCTCTAGAGGAATCTACATGGGAACCTAAGTAATAATCAGAAGGTTGCTTTGTGAGAATGCAGTCAGAGAGGAATGGGTAAGATGATCTTCATAGCCAATATCCTTTTAAAAAAATTTTTTTTGAGTTGGAGTCACACTGTCACCCAGGCTGGAATACAGTGGCATGCTCACGGCCACTGCAACCTTTACCTGCTGGGCTCAGGCAATCCTTCCTCCTCAACCTTCTAAGTATCTGGAATCACAGGCATGTGCCAGCAGGCCTGGCTAATTTTTGATTTATTATAGAGACAAGATCTCACCAAGTTGCCCAGGTTGGTCTGGAACCCCTGGGCTCAGGCTATCCTCTTACCTCCGTCTCCCAAAGAGCTAGGATTACAGGTGCAAGCCACTGCACCTGGTGCCAATATCTTTTAACTGTGAAAGCTATATGTACATAGATGAGAACACTTGTGTTCTTGAGTAGAAGCATTTCTGAACTCTATGGTGACCATTTCCCTTCTGCTAATACATTGTTTCTTTAGACAGTATAGTATGGCTATGGCTTTACACGTGCTGATACTATATAGTTTGTTGGCTCTGTCATTTGATTTCGGGTCTCTTAGTGAGCTAGACTGTTTGTTCATTATATACATTTTGCAGATTCTGTGATCTTCTTCTTCCCCATCTCCATCCTCACACTATCTTTTCTCCTCATTCATTTGGCAAATTTGTATTTCTTCTTCTGCAAAACAATATAAGCATCTTTCCTCTGTGAAGTCTTTCCTTCTTTGTGTTCTTATTTTATCTTTCCTAACTTCTGTAGTAGTACTTATCACATTGTATTAAAATGTTTAGTCCTGACTCCCTGTTAATTAGATTTTGAATTTCCTATAAGAAGGTTCTATGTCTTTATAGTCGTATACCTAGTATCTAAACCCCATAGAAGTTTATTAAATGAAGAAAGAAATGTGTGAACGAATAAGCAAATGATTGATTGAGTGAATTTACCTCATTAGGGCTGTACTTCTTGTGACCACCATTCTGGTACTCTCCTCAGCACCTATGAACTCATCCCTGCTGGTAATGAAAATTTCTCTGGTTGAGTAAACAATAATTAACTCTAAATTGAATTTATAATTGGATTTCATACTGTTGCTACAATCATGGGCATTCAAAATGCCGACTTCCCAGATGCATGTCATAACTTTAATGTTTAATTTTAGCCTATTTCTGTTAAGTGATGTGGAGGAAGGAAGATGTTTTATGAGTTGAAATTCTGTGGAATAACTTTAATTAGGTATGTAAAAGAACATGCGAAGTTTTTAAAATAAGACTCAATTCAGGACCAAGATAGAGCATTAATTCTTAATACCAAAGCAAACAATAGAGAGCAGAGTTGCCAGAGAAATGGAGAAAATACCTCTCCCCAACCATTTCCACCTGTGGCATAGAACGTGGTGTTTACTGCAAGCCAGGATGGGTAGATGGGGCTGCCTGCTATAGCAGGCTGGTGCCCAGGGCTCCAGTTGCCCTAGGCCCCATCTGGCTGTGCTGAGAACTAAGGAGGTGAGACCCCAGGACAGCCACCACCCCTCTGCCATAAACAACTCAAGAAACTCTGAAGTTTAATGAAGGGGAGTAGAATATACCTGCAAGTGGTTCTGGTCCCCAGCCAACCTAACAAACCAGGAAGGGTTTAGAGTAAGAAAGAATGTGCTATTTACTTTTCAGAGCTCGGATTGTTTAGGCTGTGATTTTTCAACTCTGGACGCATGTTGAAATCACCTGGAAGCTTTTACAACATAAAAACATAGCAGTGCCAGATTCTACCCTAGTACAATTTAATCAGAATCTCTGAGAAGGGGAATAGAAGGTGGTGTAAATATTTTTAAAAAGCTCCCCACAGGTGATTTTAAAGTGTTCCAGAATCCAGAATCTCTGATATAAGCAGTGATTGATGACAAAAATGAACTAGTGAGGGACCTAAATCCAACTTTATTTTTTTTTAAGTGCCTTACTTTAATACTTAGGCTTACTGGTTTTAACATAGAGAGCTTTTTGTTTTTATTGTTATAGATAGGTATGAGTCAGTCTATAGTTGGGATTTATCACCCATATTCCTAGAAGGAAATATGTTTAAGAAGTAATAGCAAGCATGGTTTTGGGATTGATCAGAAATAGTCACAGTGAAGTTTTTAAACCAAGCCTCAAGGAGTAGATAGAATTTACACATGTAGAAGAGGTGAGTGTCATGGGGGACAGGCGTTCTAAATGGAGGAAAAGCATAAACACTGGTCAGAAGGAGGTGGAAGAAAACTCCAGAGAAGAGTGCTGCAGTGTCTGGAACGGGCTTGATGGCAATGGAAGGGGCAGCCACAGCCAGCATCTCAGAGTGAAACGAGAGCAGTCCAAGGCCATATATCTGTAGCAATTGAAAATGACCACATCCAGGCTCCTTTGATCTCTAGAGCAAGGACAGTATGGAAGGCCTGGTTACAGATAATGCTTATTGAGCACTGACTCCATGCCAGGCACTTCTAAGCATTTCAGGTGGATTAGCTGATTTATTCCTCACAGCAACACCATGAGGTAGTTTCTGCTATTGGCCCTATTTTATAGAGGAGGAAAGTGAAGCACAGCAGTGGGCTGACGATTTTGTGATCTCTCTATATTCAATGACCTGCCTTCCCTCTATCATGCTTAGAACTCCCACGATCTATTTACTGGACAATGAATTATATAGTTAAGATAGAAATTTACCGTGTAATGCTAGAGTGGAGGTTGATATTTGGAAACAACCTCAGGTAAGGATCAAAGAGCTAAGGATTTTGAACCTTTCTTTCCTGTAGAGACGAGGAATTAACTGAGATTTTTAAGCAGGAAATAGCATGCTGAAATGTTGAGTAAAGCTAGTCTGCAGCCAATGGCAGTGATCCAGAAGGGAAGTAATGAGACACTAGGGGAGGTGGCAAAGGTGGGAATGGAGACAGACGCAAGTCATGGTGAATTCCCTGGTAACTGGAGTCAGACTGAGTGACGGCTGAGCCCATAAGGTCAGGACTACAATCCCAATGAGGGAAGATGGTCAATTCAGCTTTAGTTTTTTTGACTTTATGGGATATTGGGTCATTCCAACTTGGGATGTGGCATTGTATTTGGCAACTTGATTTTGATTGTCAAACTTTGATACACATCCTTTTTGATGTGGGTAGCAAGATGCCTATATTTTAATTTTAGATTAATCCTTTACCTGGTAAAATATGATATTTACTTGTTGTCCTAATAATTAATTAATGATGCTATTTTATTATAAAATGTAATTATTAATATTATTTGCCTTAGGTCATCAGACCAGGATGAAGAGGGCAAGACCAAGCAGGAGTGTATCATATCTGACCCCTCTTTTTCCATGGTGACAGTTCAACGGGAAGACAGTGGAATAACATGGGAGACCAACTCAAGTAGATCTTCTACTCCTTGGGCCTCGGAAGAAAGTCAAACTTCTGGTGTGTGTAGTCTGGCAGGGTCGACTGTGAACTCTCCTCCAGGAAATGTTTTCTTTATTATGGATGAAGTTAAAAAGACTCGGAAAAGAGCTCATAAGTCAAAGCATGGCTCGCCATCATTACGTCGGAAAGGCAACAAAAAAAGAAATTCTTTTGAGTCCCAAGATGTTCCAACAAACAAAAGAGACAATCGTTTAATTTCAGAAAGCCAGGTACTAAACGCCGGGAAAGAGAAATCATATACCAGCATTTATGATAAGACAAGAAAAAAGAAGACTGCTTCGAATACACCACCTATTACTGGAGCAATATACAAAGAACACAAGCCCTTAGTGTTAAGGCCAGTCTACATAGGAACTGTGCAATATAAAATTAAGATGTTTAATTCAGTGAAAGAAGAATTAATTCCTTTGCAGTTTTATGGAACACTGCCAAAGGGTTATGTAATTAAAGAAATACATTATAGAAAAGGGAAAGATGCATCCATTAGTCTAGAGCCAGATATGGGCAGTAGTGATTCTAATATAGTCTCCAAGACAGGAAAGTTAGTAGCCCAAAGCATAGAAGATGACACAGCAAAAGAGCTTGCTCCACCCTGTAGGGTTGCACTTTACAAAGGAGCAAAGTCCCTGACTTCTGTGTTCAGTCATGAAGATCAAAAGCAAGCTCACGTTGATTCCCCACTAAGTGCCAAATCTGCCTCTGAGCATACTGTCTCCTCTTATTCAAGTAATGACACAGCAGAGCGGGAAGCACAGCCCAGGCCTCCACAGTCACAACAGCCAGATCTTGAAGCAAAAATTCAGGAAACAGAGCCTTTCTCTCTGACACCCACCATAGCAGCGACTGTTCTGGGAATAGCACAGGCAGAATCTGAGCTTGCCTCACAAGAAGTCGTGACTTCTGGGGATGATTATCTGGCCTCAGCCTCTCTAACTCAGGTGAAGGAAGATATGTGTTCTGCCGACCATTTTGTTTCTCTGGAGGCAGAGAGGGATGCCCTGGAGAGAGAGTCACCAGCTCTGGAAGTGTCTGTCCAGGAAGGTTTTGGCCTAGATAAAGAGCAGCTGGACATGACCTCACTAGAGAAGGAAGAGCCAGTCTCTAAACAACTGTCCCCTCCTCATCCCAGTGTCAGTGAAGAGAAGGGAGAAAATGTGCCTGAGCCATCCATTTCTCTTCCCGAGCCTTCAGTGTTGGAAGAACCAGGGAAAGAAGGAGTGGAAACTTCCCTACCAATAGTTGCTGCTCCTGAACCTGAAGATTCAAATTTAGTGGAAGATGAGATCATAGAACTTGATTACCCAGAAAGTCCACCAGCTTCTGAGCAGCCTTTCCCACCACTTCTGGCCCCTGAAGTGGAGCACAAAGAAGAGGTGCCCGTTCTACCATTACTGATATCAACACCTGAACACATCGCTTCTTCTGAGGAGGAAAGAGAGGAAAATGAGTCTGTTTCTACTGATTCTGCTTTTGTATCAGAATATTCAGTTCCACAGGACTTGAACCGTGAACTAAAGAAGCAAGAAGTTGAGCCAGTTTCTCCACCCAATGCAGATGCTATCTCTGATCACTCTGTTTTGTCAGAAGGGAATGAGGAACTTGAAGCTTATTCCCCAGCCACAGCCTCTGTGTCTGAGCACTCTCTCTCACCACCCATGGCTGGGAAGGCCTCAGAATACCAGTCTCCGCTATTCTCAATGGTTACATCAGAACATGTGGTGCTATCAGGAGACGATGTGTCAGATAGCGGGCACCACACACCAGACTTCATATTTGCTTCAGAACATTCAGTTCCGGCACAGGCAATGCAAGAGTTACTGAAGAAAGCAACTGACTGTGAGTCTCCACTCAGTTCAAAAGGTGCTTCTGAGCACAGGCTTCCATCAGAAGAAGAGAAGGAAGTCTCTGGGCCGTGTTCCCCAGCTACTGCCTTTGTGTCTGCGCACTCTCTTCCACCATCCACAGCTGAGAAGACTTCAGGACACCAGTCACTGCTGCCTTCTCCTGCTGCATCAGAACACATGGTCCTATTGGAAGGAGAAGATCTAGGAAGTGAGCATTTCATGCCAGATTCAAAATTGACCCCCAAACAGGCAGCTTCACCAAATGCATTACAGGAATCCCAGAAGAAAAAAATTGGTGTGTCCCTATTAAAACCAAAAGATGTTTCAGAGCACACGATTCTGTCAGAAGAAGAGAAGGAAAATGCTGGGTCGCGTTCCCCAGTGGTGGCCCCTGCTTCTGAACACTCTTTCCCACCACCCCCAACTGAGAAGGCTTTTGAATGTCAGGCCCCACCACTGTCAGCCATCGCATCTGAACCTGTGCTCTCATCAGAAGAAGAGACAGTAGAGCTGGAGCGATACACTCCCTCTTCCACGTCTGCTTCTGAATTTTCACTGCCACCATTTGCAACACCAGAGTCACAGGAGGAAGACATTGTGCACAGATTCCATCTAAATCTAAAAGGGGCCTCTTCACCTATGGATTTGCCAGAAGAAGATCAAGAAGACATTGGACCCTTTTCTCCAGATTCTGCATTTGTGTCAGAATTCTCATTTCCACCGTATGCAAAGCAGGAGGGAGAGAAAAGAGAATTTGAGTATGATTCTCCAATATGTTTAACATCCCCATCTGATCACACTATTTTGTCAGATGAAGAAATTGAAGAAGCTGGACTTTTTTCTCCAGACTCAGCATCACAAGTTTCAATCCCACCATTTAGACTTCTGGAAACAGAGCAAAATGAAAGTGAGTCTGATTCACTACTTACTGCAAGGTCGGCTTCAGGATATTCCTGCTTTTTAGAAGTAGGCAAGGAAGAAATGGGATCAACAGTGGCTACACCTGTACCTGAGCATTTCAATTCATCACAGAAGCAAAAGGCTGAACCTTTCCTGTTGATGTCTGCATTTGAAGACTTGAGTCTGCCACCTTCAACAAATACGTTGGGGACAGCAGAAATTAAACCAGATGTTCAAACAACCTCAACATCTGTGTCTGAATATCTTATTTTGGCACAGAAGCAGAAAACTCAAGCATCTTTAGAGCCTGAGTCTGAAGACTTGGTCCCACCATATTTAACCAGTGAGTTAAGGAAGGGAGAAATGAAGGCGAGTTTAGCAGCAGCTACAACACCTGCTTCTTTCCTTGCACAATCATCCATGGTAAAGGAAGAAACCAAACCTGCACCTCAGCACTCAGTTTCACCTGACTCGGTCCATGCAATTAAGAAAGAGCAGGAACCCAAAGAGTCACTCACTATGAAAGCTGCAGATGAACAGGTGACCTTGCCAACAGTCGAACAGGAAGAAAGTGTGCTTGACTTTCATGAAGTTATAACACATGCATCACAGGATAAAAAACTGGAGCCTCAGCATCCCAGTGTTCCAGGGTCTGGGATGAAACATTCAGTTTTGCCTCACTTGGTAGATGAACCAAAGAAGAGTGTCAAACTCAATGCAGCTCCGGACATGACTTCTGAACCAGGGCAGAGGATGCTTTTGAAGAATGAGCCCGAAGTAATACAACCATATTCACCTCTAAAGGAAACATCTTTATCTGAACCTGAGGGTTTGTCAGCAGTGAAAATAGAAATGAAACATGATTCTGAAATAATAAGTGCACCTCGAGTGTCTCTCTCAGTTTCTTCAGGAGTGGAAAAGCAAGTTGAACATGGTTCACCTGCACCAGCATTTTCAGCTTTGTCAGAAGAACTCAAAAAAGAACTTGAACCCAGTTCCTCTACAACTATGCCCTCTGTAGCTAAGCTTGATTCAAACTTAACCAAATTAGTGAGAGAAGAAATCCCAACAGATTCATCTTTTGCCACCCCTGTAGATTGTTCAGACTTAACAAAAGTGGGAAAGGGTGAATTAGGCAGTGGTTTGTCACCACTGGTAACATCTGCAGATGAGCATTCAGTTCTCAGAGAAGAGGAAAAGGTAGCAATTAATAGTGTTTCCCCCACTGAAATGTCTTCATCCAAACATTTAGCTTGGTCAGAAGCAGAGAAAGAAGTTAAACGTGATTCACCTCCAAGTATCTCCTCTATATCAGCGCATTCTATTTTGTCAAAAGTAGAAACTGAAGATGTTAAATTTGGGTTGCCAATAACCAAAACATCTTCTCAGCTTTCAGATGTATCTGAGGAAGAAAAAGTAGACGACAAACAAAGTCTTTCATATTCTACAGTTGTTGACTCTGAATATTTGGTTTTATCACAGAAAAAGAACTTGATATCTGCCTCAGGGCCTGAACATGGGATGTTGTACAACCTAAGTGGGGAGATAAAGAAAGAAGAAACTGAACTTCCTTCATCACAAAATGTGTCACCTCTATCTAAACATAAAGTTTCAAAAGGCAGAAATGAGGAAATAGCAAGTTCTTTTCCTGAGCTGGAAGATTTATTGTCAGAGGAGTTAACTCCAACATTTCTGCTCCCGAGTGATGATAAGAGCAAACCGTCAATGGAGATCTCTTCTACAGCTCAAGGAGATTTCCTGTCAGAGAAACAAGATCTTATTCTAACAGAGATCTCTTTGGACAAGCCACACCAACCACCAGAATTCCTAAGTGCTGGGTCAGGATTTGCTAGTGTTTTAGGTAGACAAAGTGAATCCCTAAGTCCAAAACAAGTAAAATGCTCCATAACAGAAACAGAGGATTCTATTTTAGAAAAGGGCCTAGCTGAGTTTAGGAGCAGAGAAGGAAAAGAAGAAAATAGGGAGCTTCATTTGTTTACTACAGTGCCTGCAATGTCAGAGGTGTCATCACGCCTTGAGGAGGAACCTCAGAATGAAAAAATTAAACCTTTCTCTCCTCAGGTAGTCAGCCTAGGACCAAAAGAAGCACCTGCCTCTCTAGTTGAAGGAGACAAACCAGAAGAACTTCAGCCATATACCTTTTCTTTAAAAGGATTATCAGAGTTGAACCAATCAGCTATCTTTAAAAGTGGGGGGGATCAAATAATAGACCTATTACCATCATCAGGAAAATTGCAGGCACAGGTGAGGGGAGGTGTTGTAACTAAACTAAATGAAGAAACAGGCCACTCAGATTCATCTCATGTACCCCAGAGTATAACAGAACCATCAGAGGTCACTTCTTCTGACCTCTTTGTGGAACAAAAGAAGATTGAAAAAGCACCTCATTCAGATCAAACTGTTAAATCTCCTGAAGTAAGCACTTTTGTAGATAAACAAGATCTGGATGTTAAACATTTTTTGTTTATGAAAGAGGACTTGCCTTTGGAACAATCAAAATCATTTATGACAACCTTGCCTGTAGATATTAAAGAAACAAAAATGGGTGAGTCCTTTATTTCTCCAAAGGATGAAAACAGGATGTTGGAAAAGCCAGAATGTGTGGCTAGTGAACATGAAGAAAGAACACTAAGGTCTGTGCAGCTGGAGTTCACTGACAGCAGTGACACGAAGACAGGGCAGCTCAGAACTGCTCTATCTGATGAGGACCATATGCATGAAGTCAGAGAGCAGGTCTTTCCGCATCCTGCTGTAGAAGCTCTTTTGTCATTACGAGAACCACTATCTACTCTTGATACTTCCAGTGGTAATGTAGAGATCTGGCCAAGCAATACCTACTCTTCTGAAGAAGTAAAGCTGGCCCAAGAACCATCATCTTTAGTTTTAGTTGGAAATGTAGAGAGAAACATAGCAGAGGGGAAGCAGATTCATTCTTCCATGGGGAGTGAAGGTTTGATATCGGAGAAAGCAAACACCAAGTTTTCCATACCTTGCAAAGAAGATAGCCAGGAAGAAATCAAGCTGCCTCCTGAAAGAAGCTTCCAGAAACCAGTGTCTGGCCTGTCCATGGAACAGATGGAGTTAGAAACTATCCCTTCTTCTGTCAAAACAGCCCATTTCCTGATAGAAGATACAGAACCTGCATTGGGTAATGAAAAAGAAATACAGAGGAGAACACTTCCCTTACTTAGAGAGAAGTTGTCAGAAGAATCAAAAATGGTTCAGTCAAAGGTTGTAGATGATGCTTATGAGGGCGGGAAACCAGCATCTGAAGTGAAAATCCCCACACAGAGTAAACCTCTCTCCTCAATCCAAGCCAACAAAGAACCCCAATCCCCAGAGTCACCTGAGATGATGCAAAAGCTGCCTGAGCAGCCAAAGGTGGCTAAGTCAGGCCTTCCTGAGGAAAAAGAAAAGAAAGGAATTTCATCTTTCAAATCGTGGATGTCCAGTTGGTTTTTTGGATCAAGCACTCCAGATAATAAAGTTGCTGAAAAGGATTTAGAAACTCAGCCAAGTCCATCTGTAGAAAAAGCAGTGACTGTGATAAGACCTAAAGATACAATTCCTGCTGATTTTGATGCAGCTGAGAGACCACTTGACCATTCATTACTGGAGATAAACCTTAAAACTGCTGATGAGTCCAGAGGTACTTTAATTAAATCTGGTGAAGGTCAAGACTTCAAGGAAAAACTCACAGTGTTATCAAAGGTAGAAGTTTTACAACAGTCAAAATCTAACTCTGAGGTGTCAAGGGAAGACTATGGGAAGAAAGAAATACCAGACTATTCAGATGAAATGAACATATGCACAGTAGTTACTTCCACTTGTGGTAAAGAACATCTTGGCATTCAACCTTATTCACCCATTGGTGAGAAATTGGTTATGGAAGAAGCCAAAAATATTGCTCCTCTTCATGTTAATGATAGTAAAAGAGTCCAGAAGCCAGAAATCTCTCCTCCATCTAAATGGGGTATTTCTATTCTAAAGGAAAAGCCAGGAAGTAATCAAGAAGAAAAATCATTCCTTTCACTTGATGTAGTAGATAAGATGCCACCACAGCCAAAATCAGCTTCATACAACCTCACAAGTGAAAATATTATGAAGGAATCAGAGAAATCAGAGTCAATAATTTTGCCAGTAAAAGAATCAAAAAGCAGTTTAATTGATCTTGGTGAAGACAGACTAAAGAAAGAAATTCTGAAACCTCCTTCCTTAATAATTTCTGAAGAGGAATTCAAACTCGGGTCTGTTAGTCCAACTGAGGAAAAAGGTTACTTGGATACCAGGTCATATGCGTTGGCAGAAAAGAAGGTTCTGGCAGAAAAGCAAGACACTGTGGCCCCATTAGAGCTTAGAGATGATCATGAAATAGGGAAGTCACAAATTACACATGAATCTAGACCTACTGAATTAGAAGAATCAAAAGCTGCTGTGATGCTGCAGCAACTCTATCAAAATGAAGACCACAGTGAAAGATCCAAAATCATTGTTAATTCTAAAGAGGAAAAAGAAGACATCGCTATCATAAAAGAAAGTATGAAGCAAGGATCGCCAGCTAAAGAATCTGAAAGGACTTTAGATAGTCCTTTTGATGAAACAAAGAGCTTAGAAATGCCATCCTATTTGCTGTCATCTGTAAAACCACAGACTCATGCTTCAGGAACTTCTCCGGAAATTAACACAGCAAAGAAACAAGAAAGGTCATGGTCAGAATTGACTCCAGATAGGCCTACAGTTCATACTATTCATGTATCTAAAAATCATATGACTGATGTGCCTAAACAATCTGTTCTTGTTTCAAAGCACCGTTTGGAGGCTGTGGAAGAAACCCATGTAAATGAACCACTTTCTCCAGCAAGAAGCAACTATGCTCAGTTTATAATGAATGCATCAGCAATCAATGCTGACAAAATGGTTTCTACTAAAGAAGTGTCCGAGAAGCCTGAAGACATGCATGCAAAAGACAAAGAATTTGCAGTGACTAGTAAGCCAGCTGGACTTTTGGAAGATCAGAAGAGTGCCTTCAGTATCATTTCTGAAGGCTGTGAGATATTGAATATTCATGCTCCTGCCTTTATTTCTTCAGTTGATCAGGAAGAAAGTGAACAAATGCAAGATAAGTTAGACTATTTGGAAGAGAAAGCCTCATTTAAAACCATACCACTCCATGATGATAGTGAGGAAGTTGTTTTCCATAAGCTAATAAAGAGCAATTTAGAAGATTCTGGTGAAACAGTGGTATCATTGAAAGAAAACAAACAAAAGGAAACTCATAAGACAAAAGAAGACATCTCCACAGATTCAGAAACTGGAGATTTAGGTTTTATTCAGCCCACACTTCCCAGTGAGGAGGATTATTTTGAAAAATATACTTTGATTGATTATAACATCTCACCAAACCCAGAAAAACAGACAACTCCACAGAAATTAAATGTTGAAGAGAAACCCTCAAAGAAGGTTACAGAAGAAACTCTCTCTTTCCCAGAAAATTCAGGGGAACATGTCCTAGAACATGAATATGACTTGGTGAAATTAGATGAAAGTTTTTATGGACTGGAAAGGGACCATAGCAAATCATCTCCCCCCCAAACCCAGAAGTCTTTGGTTATCCCAAAATCAGTTGAAAGAAATGCTTCCAAGTGCTTAAGCAGAGATGTGGACTCAAAGTCACCTGGGATGCCCTTATTTGATACAGAGGAAGGAGTTCTGTCACGACCCCAGATATTTCCCACTACTGCTAAAGCCATTAATCCAGAGCTTTTGGAGGAGCCACCCGCCCTTGCATTTTTATATAAGGATCTGTATGCAGAAGCTGTTGGAGAGAAGGAAGGGGAAACGGCTTCTGAAGGTGATGGTGTGAATTCTGAGGCATCATTTCCACGCAGAAATTCTGACACCGATGATGGAACAGGAATATATTTTGAGAAGTACATACTCAAAGATGACATTCTCCAAGACACATCTGTAACTCAAAAGGACCAAGGCCAAGGTCTGGAAGAAAAATGGGTTACTAAGGATGATTCATGCCAACCGATAGTTGCAGAAGGGGAAGTTGTGGGGAAGTTTGGAACTATTTTGGGGGAGAAGAGTCTGGAAAAACAGAAAGCTGTTTGCAGGGAAGGAGAATCAGTAGGCCATGTCGAGACTCCTAGTAACACAGTGATGCAGAGGAAAGCTCCCATCACTGAGGAAGTCAGTGTGGTTACCCAGCAGATAAGCTATGCAGTTCCATTTCAAGACACCCATCCGGTTCTGGAGTGTGTAGATGAAGCAAGCAGTCAAAGTGATGAAGCAGGACACACAAGTCCAGAGGTCAATCTGAACGTCCCAGTTCAAGTGTCCTTCCCAGAAGAAGAATCTGCATCTGGTGCAACTTATGTTCAAGAAACACTACAAGAACCTAAAATCCCGGTCCCACCTGAGCCAAGAGAAGAGTGGCTTCGCAATAGTCCTGTCCAGGATGAGTATGAATTTGCTGAATCCCTGAATTATGAAGTGGTTACTCAAGACACTTTATCAGAAGAACTGTATTCAGAATCTACAGCTGAAGATGCATTATCTCAAAGAAAAGAGTCCCTTGGACACATCAGTGAAAATGAATTTGTGAGTGAGGTGGGGCAAAGTACATCTGCTGAGCAAAAAGAGCTGGGGAGAGAGAGGCAAGAAAAAGATCAGTTATCAGAATTAGTAACTGAAAAGGCCCAAAAGGAACCGAAAAAGTCTCAAGTTGATACATATTGCCACACTTGCAAAAGCCCAATTTCTGCTATCGACAAGGCATTTGGCACCCACAAAGACCATGAGGTTTCAACGCTTGACACAGCTATAAGTGCTGTAAAGGTAAATAGATTTTAAGACATACAAATAATAATAATAACAACAATAGTAATAATAATAATACTTTTTTGAGTTGGAGTTTCACTCTGTCACCCAGGCTGGAGTGGAGTGCAGTGGCATAATCACAACTCATTGTGCCACCATGCCCAGCTAACTTTTTTTGTGTGTGTGTGGAGATGAGTTCTTGCTATATTGCCCAGGCTGGTCTCGAACTCCTGGACTCAGGCAATTCTCCCATCAGCCTCCCAAAGTGCTGGGATTACAAGTGTGAGCCACTGTGCAGCCGTAAAACATACAAATAATTAATAGTACTATACATTTAATTTACTTTCACATTTTCTCAGTTTTAAAAATGACCAATATTTCATGTATTTATCTTTAAGTAGAACAGTCTGAAAGCAACTAAGAATACTTCTCCAAGAATTTAGTTAAATCAGTTTGACAAACATTTATTGAGTATAGCCAGCATTCTGTGTCCTTGAGTTCTGCATCCTTGGAATCAACCAATCACAGATCAAAAAAAAAAAAAAAAATTGGGAAAAAAAAACAAATAAAAATACACAGTAAAAATAACACAAATAAAAAATAGAGTATAACAATTATTTAGGTAGCATTTACATTGTATATGTATTTAAATAATCTAGAGATGACAAAGTATGCAGGAGGATGTGTATAGGTTATATGCAAATACTGCTCCATTTTATATCAGGGACTTGAGCTTCTGCAGAATTTTTGTGTCTGCTGGGGGATCCTGGATCCAATCCACCATGGATATCAAGGATGATTATATATACTATGTGCCAGACATTTTTCTAGGTTTTGGGGATACCAAGATAGATAACACGGAGTCATTGCTTTTGAGGGGCTTGTCATTTTGTGGCATTAGCCCTTAACATTATCAAAAATACCAAGTAATTTGAAATTTAAAATTACTTTTGAGCATAAAACACAATTTATTTTCTATTATCTACAATGTCATCCTTTAAAAATACACATTTATATTATATTGCCAAATTTTATTGCAAGTTATATATATGTATATCTAAATACTCAAGACATTAAAATTTAAGATTTTAAATTCTTATTTTTTTCTGTAATTCCTTTTGCTTTGCATTCTTTCTGGCTACATTTATATCTGGATTCCAGATAAAAAGTTTATCACAACATGTATCCTTATAGAAGTGATTATAAACACCCCACTTCCCCAGAGATACTATTGAAAGTCAGAATTTAGACATTGAGACTCCTACCTTCTTTTTCTTTCTTTCTTTCTTTCTTTCTTTCTTTCTTTCTTTCTTTCTTTCTTTCTTTCTTTCTTTCTTTCTTTTTGTAATACAATCAGGGGTCTTGTTTTGTTGCTAGGCTAGTCTTGAACTCTTGGGTTTAAATGATCCTCCTGCCTTGGCTTACCAAAGTACTGTGACTGGAGGTGTTCTCAATGTTTATTGACTCCTATTCTGTGTCAGGAGATGTTTTAATCATTGGGAGTGGAAAAAAAAAAAAAAAGAATGTTTGGCTTGTGGATTCCCAATATCAGTACAGGGTTGTGGGAGTACCATGTCTGAAAACCAACCTTTTGGAGGTGAAAACTAACCTTTTAGGAGTGCCCAGCCTTCCATCTATCTTTCAGTAGCCTTCTAACTGGTCTCCCCATTCTTCATTTGTCAATCCATTCTCCATACAGTAGCCGGAATTATCTTAAAATTAGCAAATAACAAGAATTGAGCACCTACTCTGTACCTGCCACTGTGTTTTTTTTCGTTGTTGTTATGTGAGATACAATTCAGGATTAGGTATACAAATGTTCATTATGCTGGTACCCTTGTTGATGAGGTGTGCCCCTCTCCCATGTTAAGATCTTTATATATAGGATATCTTTTAATTCTTATAGCAACCCTGTCACTGTATCAATTTTCAGTTAATGAAATCAGCTCAGAGAGTTTAAGTGATTTGTCCAAGGACCTGGGAGGCAAACCTGGGATTGGTATCCAGGTCTGGCTACATACCAGAGAACATGCTGTTAGTAGTATGTCCATACAGCTAGGCTCAGTGCCTTGCAAATGGTAGTGATTCTCAATATGATCATTCAGTTAGGTGACTGTTGAATAATTGTCAGACTCATTTGGATTAAATAGAATAACATATTAGAATCTTGACACTGTTTTTCCTACCAAATTTATCCTTTTCAACTGGCCTTATTTTGGTTCTATTTCTCCAGGGCAAAATTTTGTTGACTTTACTTGTTAAAGTTTTGGACTAGGGAATGGGGCAACTTTTGTGAAATCTCAGACATCAGATGTATTAGCTCCAGTGGAAGAGGGACCCATTCTGTGGTGACACTTGGTTTTGTTAACTCACAGCTACTGGGTACTGGAAACAGAAAGAGGGTTGAATTTTTTTTTTTTCCTTCTTGATCATGTTTTGCTTATCTATGAGTTTTAGAAATTAAAAAATAGCTATCTAAATATTGTTAATTTGAAACAAATTTCTTAAGTATGGAGATATGATGTCTCCTGCCTTAAAAGCATTAAAAAAGTTATTTATTAATTTTTAAAAAAATTTTATTTTAAAGATATGGGGTAAAATTCAGGATTAGGTACACAAGTGACCATCATACAGGTAAAGTTTGGGCCTCCCTTTGGTCCCCACTTTGCCTGGTTAGAGATCAGGTACCCTTACTGATGTTATGTGCCCCCCTCCCCTGGCAGTGTCCCACTACAGCCATCCCTTTCTTATAGTAAAAAACAAATTTTTAAAAAAATTATTGATCTTCTCTAAACAGTATGAGAAGAAAAAAGTGGAAACCAAGTTCACTAAAGCCAAGGAAGCTTGCTTCATTCACTGTCAGCCATGAAGATTAAGAGTTGGTTGGCAAATCTTTCAAAATAAAAATCAGTTGAAGAAAGGGATTGGCAGTAGTGGGAAACTGCCAGGGGAAGAGGAGGGCATACCATCAACAAGGGTATCTGCATAATGAACATTTGTATACCTAACCCTGAACTGTACCTCACCTCTTTAAAATAAAATTTTTTTTTTTAAAAAGAAAAGAGTTGTAACTTGATAGTTCTCTAGCATCTTATGGGAAGGCATTTGTACCTGTTCAGGAGCTGCATTTACAGATCACCAAGTCCTCAGGTCTTCTCCCATGTCCACCTCATCTATTATTATTACATTTTTCTTCACTCATTCCCGTCCTCCATCCTCAATGTTTATTGACTCCTATTCTGTGTCAGGTGATGTTTTAATCATTGAGAGTGAAAAAAAAAAAAAAAGAAAGAAATTTTGGCTTGTGGATTCCCAATATCAGTACAGGGTTGTGGAAGCACCATGTCTGGGAACTAACCTTCTGGGGGTGAAATGGTGAGGTGGGAAGGGGACTGATAAAGAAAGGTGGAGCTTGGGTGGGTGAGTCTTCAGTGAGGTAGAGCTCCTTTAGCAGTCATGGCAGGGACCATATTCTAGAGACAGGGAATGTTATAGAAAAAGATACATGGCCCAGTGTGGTGGTTTATGCCTATAATCCCAGCACTCAGGGAGGCCAAGGTGAGAGGATTGCCTGAGACCATGGGTTCGAGACTAGCCTGGGCAACTTGGCGAGACCTCATCTCTACAATAAATCAAAAAAATTCACTGGGCATGGTGGCACGTGCCTCTAGTTCCAGCTACTTGGAAGGCTGAGCCCACCTGGTCGAAGCTGCAGTGGCTGTGAATGTGCCACTGTACTCCAGCCTTGATGACAGAGGGAGACTCTGACAAAAAAAAAAAAGGAAAGAAAAAGGCACACGGCAGGAAAGAGTCCAAGGAAAAGATGCACTGGTGGGAGTGGAGTCTGGGGCTGTGGAGAAAGGGGAGGACCATCAAGGGAAGGAGAGGCAGATCAAAGAGGCAGCTGTCCTGGTGGAGAGTGACTCAGACAGCTGAAGCTCTGTTCTGTTTTGCTGTTTTTTGAGCTTAGCAGGACTGATGACTAGCCGCTAGGTTTGTAACTATGGCTAAAGTAGATGTCATCCTTTCCCATCATCCCATACGTTTTGTGGTTGACTGTCATTCCTTGAGTATTTTAACCCGTTCAGAGTCAACAGGACTTTTAGGTCCCTGTGGTCCAGTTTCCATCATTTGGTATGGTAGACTTCTGGTCTTGTGGCACTGACCACCTCCTCAGGGTTAGGTCTTCCAAGCACATCTCGGGCCATTGGTGCAAATGTGAAGAAACTACTCACATATATTAGACTAGTTTGGCCAAAGATTGCTCTCAGAATGTGTAAAAATCAAGGCCTTACTAAGGAAAAAGCATTCAAATTCATAGTTCATTAAAACAAGTGTGCTTTAAGGTCATCAATTTACCACGAAGTCCTTTCTTTTGCATGAGAAGACAAACTGTCTTTTTACAGTTGCTTTGGGTTCTCACTTGGAACCTCATAGTTGTTTGTCATATAAAACTATCTACAATCAATTTAGATGAAGCAGCAAAGAAAATTTAAAGACTGAGTTGTTAGTGGAGATAATTCAGTAAAACTACCACACATACTAAATGTATGAGGAAATTGGAGCCCACTGTTTGAAGTTCTTTTCCCAAATGTCGTATACTAAGGATATCTTAATTCTTTTCCTCAGGTTCAATTAGCAGAATTTCTAGAAAATTTACAAGAAAAGTCCTTGAGGATTGAAGCCTTTGTTAGTGAGATAGAATCCTTTTTTAATACCATTGAGGTAAGTTACCAGATCCATTTTCCTTTAACCTGGCTTGTTCACTGTAGTCTGAGCTTAAAGAATCTGATTTGGGGTTTTGTGTGCCTGTGTTGTTTGCCATTGTTGGTTTTGTTCCATTCAAAGTGAGGATTCTTAAAGTCTTTCCTCTGTGCATAATCAGCCAGAGGACTTTCTGCCTAAGGATAAAAGACTTGCCACACATTTTTTGGGCACTTAACTGTAATAGGGAGACTTCTTTACATGCTTACCTGATTTAATCCTCACAATGATGTGAGATAAGTGTCATTACGATTGTTCCCATCTTAACAATCCTGCCCCTCCTTGGTTGAGCACTGCCCAAGGGCCAGTCCCTGCCTAGTGTCCCATGCCAGGACCAATGTGGGCCTCTCCTGGTGTTACATCATGGGTGAGTGAATGCTCTCCTCTCTGCTGGCTCCTGCTCCTTCTGCAGCAAAGGGAGGGGTAGCAATGCTTGGTCTCTATATAGAGGTGGCCCAGGAGTGGCAGAGGTCCCAAGGGCACTGCAGAAGGTGTTGCAGAGCTCCCCAACCCAGGTAACTCCATACCCCGGTTTGCTTGTGAGAGGTCTGCTTTACTCCTGTTGTAGATCAGTGAAGAGTTGCTAATTATTTCTAGTGCCCCTTCCCCCAGGTATCCCTTTTAGTCAGTAAATTATATGAACCCCTTGTTACTAGTCCTGCTAGTGACTATAGCCAGGCATCTGGGTGTGTTTAGACGGGCAACAGTGCTTCTCCCCATGTAGCAAGTGCTGCCAACTCATTGGAGAACACTTGGGAATGCAGCACCCTGGTCATCATCCTGGCTGCTCCCTCCCTCACATGTAATTTTAGTGATGAGTGGAAGTGGCATTGACACTTTCAACCACCTGAAGGCCAGGGAGCCCCAGTCACTGTGATGCCATTCTCAAGTTTCATCATGTGGAGAGCAGGTGGGTAAAACTCCCATACAAATCTCTTTTTAAAAATTTTGGTAGCTTAAACTTTCTTGATGATACTCTTACAGTGAATTCTGCCACTCTATTACAAAGCTATTATAGCTAAGGGGGTTGGTGGGTTAGAAATTTAGCCTGTGCATATGATGCCTGGTTCTCTCATCAGGACACCAGATATCAATTCTTTAAATGACTGGTGTTAAAAAAAATTTAAAAAGCAGGCATGTGTTGTTTCACTCAGAAGTGGAGTTTTTTTTTTTTTTTTCCCCAGGAAAACTGTAGCAAAAATGAGAAGAGGCTAGAGGAACAGAATGAAGAAATGATGAAGAAGGTTTTAGCACAGTATGATGAGAAAGCCCAGAGCTTCGAGGAGGTGAAGAGGAAGAAGATGGAGTTCCTGCATGAGCAGATGGTGCACTTTCTGCAGAGCATGGACACTGCCAAGGATACCCTGGAGACCATCGTGAGGGAAGCAGAGGAGCTGGACGAGGCCGTCTTCCTGACTGTAAGCGCCAAGTAAAATGGGCCCCAACACCTTGCGCCCACTCTAGCATGTCTACTTTTAAAGCTTCATCTCTCACTATTCCTTAAGATTATTTATATCTCGGTGTGGGGTTTATGTAATGCTGCAGTTAAACATTATTTGGGCATGCCTGTAGTGAAGGCCCTGCCAATCCAGAAGGTCTTAATGCCCAGATCCTGCTGAGGATCATGGAGACAGGCCACAGCCTAGTCGTTCCGTTTTGTCACACTGGATTGGTCGTCTTCCCAGAGGGAGAGAAAGCAGCCTTAAAACTACTCATGCCACGTTTCCGTTGTGTAAAATCACAGAGGAGGGTCAGCCTTGTCTTCTGATGCCTGGCATTTTCATGCTGACCCTTGGGCAGATCTTTCCACTCCCTAATCGGAAGTGACCACTCATCCAGACTGTTTCCTCTGAGCCTCGCCAAGTGGCAGAGAGTAGCACTTTGGTAGGCAAAAGGATGATGCACTGTGCTACATGTTTCAGGTAATAAAATGTTCGTGTTTTTACAAGGGGCTTCCTGGGGACAGGATTCCTTATTTTAAACACATAACTTGTAGATGGACTTTTGTCCCCATGCTTCCCTAGAGTATTCAGGAAGATGCTGGCTCTCCACAGAACCAGGATTAAGCAGAAGTCATGGAGATGTTTTTCTGCAGGGCAGTTCTAAGACTAACTGTCATGCAGGGGAAAGCACCATCTTATGATGGCTGGGTACTTTCTTTGCAAAGTTCCCCATCCTTCTAACCCTCTAGGAAACTGTGGAGATAGGACAAGGCTAAATGGGATAATGTTAGTCTTTTGGTTTGCCTCTAGGGACATCTCCAGTCAGGGCAAATCTGAGTGAAGTGGATATGGTCATCCTCAAAAGAGAACTAACTTATTAGGATGCTTTATGTAGAATTAAGGCAAACTTTAACATTAAGTTAGGTACTTCTTATGAAGTATAACATTAACAAAGTACGTTGCATTCCCTGAGAACTTATCTTTATTTGATAAGAATAATTTCCTTTTCTCTGGGAGAACAAATTGTAAAATTAAAAAAAAAAAATTTCTCCTTATAAATGTAATATTATCCACTTTTAAAAGTTGGAAAATACAGAAAAGCATGGAGAAAATATCACTCAAATAAAAGCTGATTACATTTTTATATATCCCACACTGAACAAATCATTTTTCTTGCTTTGGAGAATTCCATTTTCGAAGCTAAGCCATTTGTGAATAAGCAACTTGTGGCCTGCCCTGCTAGTCAGAGAGCAGAGCCCATCACAAACTAAAGCCTCTCCATCCTGGCCAGACCCCCACACTTCTGAGTATTAATTTCCTTGCTGCCCAGGCTGAAGTCACTAATGAGGAACAGTCTTAGGGAAACTGAGGGGTGATGATTTTTGAACATGGGTAATCTCACTGCTCCTGGTTGGTTTATCTTTTTGTGGTTAATTAGTCTTTCTCTCTCTCTCTCTCTCTCTCTCTCCCCCTCCTCCTCCTTCTCCTCCTCCTCTTCCTCCTCCTCTTCTTCCCTCCTCCCTAAGTCATTTGAGGAAATCAATGAAAGGTATATAAAACATGGCACAATGTAGTGGTGACTGAGAACAAACAGCATGACTGGATGCTTTCTTTTGAATATTCTGATGCTTTATAGAAAATGATCTGCCAATTAAAAAATATGTCTAGTGAGCTATGGTATTTTTACTTTTAGACACAGTGTTTTTAAAAGCTAAATGACAGCTTTGAAGAAAGATTGCATGTACGTTAGTTAAATAACAGTTATCATAATGTAGATTTTTAACTGCTTCCTCAAGATGTTTCTGTACTTTCAGACTAACCTAGACTATCTTTCCTATCACCGCATATAGAACATTTTGCAATACTTATACTTATTGGTTAAATATGAGTATTTGAAAGAATCATTCATATTTGCCTCGAGTAATCTTATGACTTATGCAATCTTGTAGAATGTGCTCTCATTTTCTCTTCAATTAGATAGTTATGCATTTTATCGTCTCTTTCTGCTTGGCTGACCTAAATGATTTTGATTTTGTTTTGTATCATTGTTGTTTTTAACACGGTCTAAGAGGATTCTTTCCAAAGCCAAAACTTTCAACAAGAAACTAGAAAACGTTGTTTATAAAAACATAGAACATCAGATTCATGTTTATCTTTCCATGCATCTGATGTTGAATTCTCATACAGATCGGACAATCTTCCCTTCTGCCCCATAGCACAACATGTAATCTTTCCTACTGGTTGAGTCTAATGTTTTATCATTTTAATGTAATTTAAAATGTAAGTTTCTAAATTGTAAATATTATCTTCCATTTGCTTCCATGCCATTTCAAATTGTGATACAGCATAGAGTAAAAATCAGAAATTTCTATCTATATGATATTAAAACATGGAAGAGTGAATTTAGATTAGAAACTTGATTTTATTTATTTATTATTTATTAGACTCAAAGGGTACATGTGCAGGTTTTTTTAAAAAATTAATTTTTAGAGTCAAGGGGCTCATGTGCAGATTTGTTACATAGGTATATCACATGATGGTGAGGTTTGGGATTTTATTGACACCCAGGTACCCAGTAGGTTTTTTTTTTTTTTAACACTTTCTGTCTCCCTTGCTCCCTCCCCTCCTTAGAAGTCCCAGTGTCTGTTGTTCCCACCCTTATTTCCACTTGTATTCAGTGTTTAGCTCTCACTTGTAAATGAGAATATGTGGTACACAATTTTCCATTTCTGTGATAATTCGCTTAGAATGATGGTCTCTAGCTGTATTCATGTTGCTGCAAAGAATATGATTTCTTTCTGTTTTATGGGTGCATAGTATTCCATGGTGTTTATGTACCATATATTCTGTATTCAGTCCACCATTGATGGGCATCTAGGTTGGTTCCATGTTTATGCTAGTGTGAATAGTGCTGCAAGAAATATTCAAGTATAGGTTCTTTTCGATAGAGTGATTTATGCCCCCTTGGGTATATACTCAGTAGTGTTATTGCTAGACTGAGTGGTAAATCTAGTTTTAGTTCTTTGAGTAATATCCAGACTGCTCTCCACAGGGGATGAACTAGTGTACAGTCTACCAACAGTGTACGAGCATTCCCTTTTTTTTTTGCAACCTTGCCAAAATCTGTTGTTTTTTGACTTATTAATAATAGTCACTCTGACTGGTGTGAGATGGTATGTCATTGTGGTTTTGATTTGAATTTCTCAGATATTGAACATTTTTTCATATGTTTGTTGGCTTTTTCATGTCCTTTGCCCACTTTTTAATGGGGTTATTATCATTATCATTTCTTGTTAATTCATTTAAGTTCCTTATAGAATTTGGATGTTAGTCTGTTGTAGGATGCATAGTTTGCAAATATTTTCTCCCATTTGGTAGGTTGTCTGTTTACTCTGTTGATGGTCTATTTTGCCGTATAGAAGCTCTTTAGTTTGATTACGTCCCACTTGTCAGTCTTGATTTTTGCTGTGTTTGCTTTCAAGGTCTTGGTCATGAATTCATTGTGTAGGCTGATGCCCAGAAGAGTGTTGTTTCCTATGCTTTCTTCTAGAGTTTTTATAGTTTGAGGTCTTACGTTTAAGCCAAGAATCCATCTTGAGTTAATTTTTTTATATGGTAAAAAGAAGGGGCCCAGCTTCATTCTTCTGCATATAGTGAGCCAGTTTTCTCAGTACCATTTGTTAAATAGTGTATCCTTTCCCCAATGTTTGTTTTTGTTGTCTATGTCAAAGATAAGATGATTGTTAGACAGTGGTTTTATGTCTGGGTTCTCTATTATGTTCCACTGATCTATGTGTCTATTTTCCTACCAGTACCATGCTGTTTTAGTTTGGTGGCCTTGTAATAAACCTTGAAGTCTGGCAATGTGATGTCTCCAATTTGTTATTTTTGCTTAGGATTGCTTTGACTATTTGAACTGTATTTTGCTTCCATGTGAATTTAAGTTTTGCTTTTTCTAGGTCTGTGAAAAATGATGCTGATAATTTGATAGGGATTTCCTTGAATCTGTAGATTACTTTGAGCAGCATGGACATTTTAACAACATTGATTCTTCCAAACCATGAGCATGGAATGTTTTTCCATTTGTGTCATCCTTGATGTTTTTCAGCAGTGTCTTATAGTTCTTATTGTAGAGATATTTTTCCTCTTTGATTAGATGCATTTCCAGGTATTTTCTTTTATTTATTTTGTGGTTAATTATAAATGGGATTGTGTTCTTGATTTGGTTCTCAGTTCGAACAGTGTTGGTATATAGGAATGCAACTGATTTTTGAGCATTGATTTTGTATCCTAAGACTTTACTGAAGTTGTTTGTGAGTGCTAGGAGCCTTTTAGTGGAATCTTAAGGGTTTTCTAGATATAGAATCAGATCATCTGTGAAGAGAGATAATTTGGCATTCTCTTTTCCTATTTGGATACATTTTATTTCTTTTTCTTGCCTGATTGCTCTGGATAGTACTATATTGAATAGGAGTGGTAAGAGTGGTAATCCTTGTCTTATTCTCATGCTTTGCTTAGGGGGAATGCTTTCAACATCTGCCCATTAAGTATGATGTTGACTGTGGATTTGTCACAGATTGCTCTTATTATTTTGAGGAATGTTCCTTTGATGCCTAGATGATTGAGGGTTTTTATCATGAAAGGATGTTGGATTTTATAAATGTACTTTTCTGCATCTATTGTTTTTACTTCTGTCTCATAATTTTTTTAGATAATTGAAACCACACAGATGATTCTTTACATATCAAAATTTCCATTCAAGAGAAGATAGCCAGTAAGTTTTATGAAAATGATTTTTATAGTAATATTGGCATTAACTAATAAGGGTTTTATAACACTGGCACTGCTATAAATAGAATTCCCTGAAGAAGTTTTTAAAATGTTGATGCCTGAATCATGTCTCCAGAGATCCCAATTAAAATTATCTAGAGTGTAGCTGGGCATTTTTAAACTTCCCAAATGATTCTAATGAACAACCAAAGTTGAAATTTCTGGTTGAAACAATCTGTCCTTTGGCCCAGTGGTTCCTCAGACTGGTTGTGCTGAAATCACCTGTGCTATTTATTTGTTTAATCAAAGATCTTGGGGCTACAACCTGGATCCATGACATCTGAATCTCCCAGGTTGCTACTAGGCATCTGCTTGTTACTAATGACAAATCCAAGACACATCAGTCAGGTCTGGAAACTGATGCCCAGGACTTTTTCCCAGTTTTCTTTATTTTTTAAAAAAATTATACATTTTTTTTTCTAAGTGTGATTGACATTTATTTTTATCCAAAAAGTATATGGATTTATTGTGCCATTCTACATATACTGGACAGTGTAGATGCATATTTGCTTATTTGTATTTTATCCATTCAGGAAGATACTGATTTGTATGAAAATTTGGTGAATGAAAATTTGCTAATGCTTTTCCCTTTAAAAATGCAAAAGAATGTTTGTTTTTGCTTTTCTAACCCTTAGAGTATTGCTAATATAAATTTACATTCATTTAATACTAAATACGGTTTCTTTGGTTTTGTGGTTAAACTTGTTCATCTGTTGTGTTATTTTAATTAATTTGTATTTCATTGTCCAATCAACAATGATTTAATCTTTGCTAAAGTCATATGTCATCTCAAGAAGAGTACACTTGGGATAACCATTATTTTTCTGTAGAGAAAAGAGGCAAAAAAATTCTGGGATTTAGTAAAGAAATATGAACAATCAAATAAAGCTCTGTTAAACATGTGCAGGTGTACACACACACACACACACACTCTCCTCATGAAGTTTGACTGTGTCACTAAAAAACCTTCCATGTCTTCAAGAACACTTCTACCTCAAAGTCTCAATGATCATTGGTGTTCCTTAAGAAATGCTAATTATAGGTGCCCCTTGAAAAACACAGGTTTGAACTGTGAGGGTTCACTTGTGTGTGGGGTTTTTTTCAATAAATATTTTGGAAAAGTTTTTGGAGATTTATGACAATTTGAAAAAACTTGAAGACAAACTGTGTAGCCTAGAAATATAAAAAAAATTAAGAAAATATTAGGTATGTCATGAGTGCATAGGATATACCTAGATACCAGTCTATCTTACCATTTACCACCATATGTATGCACAAATCTATAATTAAAACTTGTCAAAACCTACACAAACATTTACAGACTGTACATGGCCCCATTCTCAGTTAAGAGAAATGTAAAGCTTCACTATTAAATCATGATGCCTGTATAGTGCATGCTCTAGTACCATGGTAATTTCACAGTCACCCGTTGCGGTTACAGTGAGCTCGGGTGCTGAGAGTGTTGCTTAAAACCCCATGTGATGCTCATCATTTTCATGTGAGCAACTTGTCTCCCAGTAAATTGCGTGTCACAGGAAAAAGTGACCTCTCGCGGTTTTCTTGCATTTTCCATTGTGTTCAGTGCAGAACCATATACCTTGGATAGCACTGTGGGACCCATACCAAGTGCCACTGGTGATGCTGGGTGTGCTCAAGAAGCAGAGAAAAGATACAACAAGAAAAAGTTGAACTGCTTGATTTGTAGGTAGATGGAAGTCTGCAGCTGTGGTTGGGCCATTTCAGATAGACGGTTCATTTTGCACACAGGCGATGTCAACTTACAGCATCATAGATACAGTACAATACTGCAAATGTATTTTCTCTTCCTTATGATTTTCTTAGTAACATTTTCTTTTCTTTAGCTTATTATACCATAAGAATACAGTACATAATGCATACACCAAAAGTGTGTTAATCCACTGTTTATGTTATTGGTGACACTTCTAGTCAACAGTAGGCTATTAGCAGTTAAGTTTTGGGTAGTCAAATGTTAAACATGGATTTTCGACTGTGCAGGGGATCAGCATCACTAACTCTGTGTTGTTCAAGGGTATGCTATTTTTCTTCCTCCCTTTATATTATATCTCTAAAGACAGTGTTTGTATATTAAGTGATTTTTCTCAACACTAAAAATGCTTCAATTAAGGAATGCTGTCAAGCATATTTAGACTCAACATTTGCATATCTTGAAAAACACATTTGCTTAGAAAATGCTATTCTGTTAAGGGGCTTCATTGTTTTCTCCATTTTGCTCTTTTGTGTTATAATACTGAAAGAAAAGAGTGGTAGCCATTTTAGGACCTGCTTACAAAAAGATGTCTACTTGCCTTTTCATGTGTTGATGTTAAAATGGAACAGGTCAGTGCGTGGGGGAAAACTCAAACACTTTGCTTGTGGTATTTACAGTCAGAGCTTTTGTGCTACAAAAGCTCTACATTTAGTCAGTGACATGTATTGAGAGGGTTTTTTGTTAATTCTGAGTCCATCATTTCCACCCTCTCCACCTCCAAAGCCTTAAAGTCATTTGTGCTGTCTTTTCTCACCTGGATCGTGTAGGCCCTTCCGGCTGACCTCACACTTCTCCTGCCTTCTTGCTGGGATCTTTCCATAGACATATAGGATATTCTTCTAAACTTCCCTTTTGTAACAATTCTGTGGTTCTCTCTGCCTTAAAAGATACAATTGAGCTCTCAGGGAGTATTAAAAGCTCTTCAGAGTCAAGCCACAGACCACTGTTCTATTTATCCCTGTCTCTGCTTCCCAGCTCCCATGGTGCACCATGGTGCCCTCTGGCTGCACCAGTGTCTGAAAGAATAAAGTTCCATCCCAAGTGTGATGGGTCTGTTCTGGGAAAACCAAAATGTCCATGGCAGTGAGTCCGATGTAGTTCTCTGCAGCTGACCTAGTGGGTGGAAGAGAGTTTAGGCCTGTGTGAGAAAGGGGTGCAGAGGGAATTCCTGGTCCATGTCCAGGTCTCGCTCGCCAAGAGTCTTCTGCAAAGTCTCCTTGCCCTCTTTCCCTTTGCACTAGCCATGTTGTTGCTGTTTGTTGATATCTAGATTTGGGTACAAACGCTAAGACTCAGCTTCAGTTGGAATTCCTCCTAAGACAGTCTTAGGTCTACACAGCTGTTAACTTAGTCTATAAACACAGTCTATGTGGCTTTGTTGGTCTTTTAAGTATGGGAGGCTTTCTCCTCTGTCACTGCTGTGTCACCAGGACCTCGAACAGTGCCTGGCACACAGTAGGTGAACAATGTCTTTTGAATGCCTAAATGACTAGAAGCTTAATATTGAGGTTGCAGAGTGGTAAGGACATCCTTCAGTGCAGAAGTTTCTAGATGGGCTCTGAGCATTTATAGCCTTCCCTTTAGGAAATAAAGAAAATAACCATTAAATAAGTTTTCGTGCCAACTTTATAGGTAAAAAATTTAAGACTATAATTTGATAGAATCTTTTCTAGTCTCTAATTACAGAGGCCATAGAAATAAAATTTCTAGTATTACCACTTGCCTAAGAACACTAAGAATAGGTTATAGACATATATTTTCAGACTTCAGAGCTGTCTAAATCCTTTTTGTGAGACAGTGAGAGGCCCTGCCTTACGAAGATCACCACTGCCAGCACCAGCTTCACTTTGAACAACTGCTTTTCACTTTCATCCTGTGTGTTAATAATTTTTTGACTTATGTGGAGATCTGTTTCCTGATAGGTTGCTTTCTGCAATGGAGAGCACTTCTTCTTTAGAGAAAATGCCTGCTGCTTTTTCCCTCTTTGAACATTATGATGACAGCTTGGTGAGAAGTGACCAGATGTTAAAGCAAGTGGCTGGTAAGAATTTTAATATATTAATTGCCTTGAGGAAATATAACAATGTTTGCTTATTTGCCGTGTAGAGATTTAGAATGCAAGGACATATAACTGGAAAAAAGAAAAGTGTTGGTTGTAAGATTTTAAAGCTACACTCTGAAATCAAGCATGAGACAAGCATTTTAGTGATTGACTGCATTTCCATCTGAAGCTTCCTGCCTGTCTGCCTGTGCTGGGAGACCCAGGAGGTGGGAGGAAGGAGCCATGAAACCAAAGGGCCTCCTTTTTAAAAATTTTTTTTAGATAGGATTTTTCTCCCTCTCTTCTAGATAATTGTTTGCTTCATACTAGCAACCAGGTATAGAAGAAAAAAGAAGTCAAATATTTTCATATGTGTTGAACAGATTTTTTCCTCATGAGTGGTTTCCCCCCTTCAATTCAGTTCTCCCCCCCACCCTTTTTTTCAAACTAAACAGATGAGCTTAGAGAACTAACAGCTCAGCATCATGGTCTGTAGCCAGGAGCCTCCCACTCAGCTGTCAGAAGCATCCTGCCGACTCTTCACAATATTTTTTAATGTGCTATTTTAACAAACAGGACAATGAAACTTATTTAGATTTCTCTAAGCTGCCATGTTCAGTGAAGTTACTAAGTTTTACTTACTGTACAATGTGCTCAGATGTCCTCCTTAAAAGATGCTATATTCTTCCACAACATCTTAAGGATGGCAGCTACTCGGGAGGACAAGGAGGGAGGATCACTTGAGCCCAGGGATTCAAATCCAACCTGGGCAGCATAGTGAGGCCCACATCTCTAAAATAACAAAATAACCCATCCCCCCAAAAGATAATTTAAAAAAAAGCTGTTGTGTTTAAATTGATAATCAACTTGCATTTCTATAAGAAGAGTTTTAGTTTAATAACTAGGAAGAGGCTACTGTGCCTCTAAAAAGACACAAAACAAAACAATAGTACACACACACACACAAAACCAAAAACTACACAAGCCCTTTATAAAGTGAAAAATTCAGTCATTTATCCTCATGGATTTTGTCTAGAAATGTCTCAAAACAAAAGGGTGTTTTCTTATAATGCCTTTGAGAGGCACTAGACTACGGCCGTGATCGCAAACTAAGAAATTCTGATGAACAGAGCTGGTCTTTTCCTTTTGAGGGTTTCATTATATACTGTTGTTCATTTAGAAAGATATACTTTTAAAATACCTGATGGGCAATGAGGGGACTTTTTTTATATTTTAGAAGTTACAGAGTTAAATTGTCACTAAATGTTGATGGCTAATTCAGATAGTGGACATGGCAGTCCCAGTGGCTCGACATCCTTTGTGGGGAGATGGATCTCTGAGCCATAAATGACATTTTGTGTGTCTGCTTCACAGAAGTGGCGCCCAGGGTGTTGACTTGCTTCTTCCTTAAAACTAGGTGGATTTTTGTGATCAATTTACCAGTTTTTAAGTCTGTTTTTTTACCTGAGAGGGAAATGTGAAAGCTGTTACCATTTTAAAAAAGCAGTATAGCCCAATGTATGATTCATTAAAAAAGGAGAAAGATAGCATTTTCATTGTTTGTGCCTCAAGGAGTTCTCAAACACTGCTTCAAAGACAATCAATAGTAGCTGAAACATTCTACTTGGCTTTCAGTGAACCTGGGTAACATGAAAATTTACTGAACTCTATTTATCTGGTCAGACTCCTTTAGAATGTGACACAGGTTTCCTGCTAAGAAAGCAAACAGTGAAGTCAGACAGGATTAGGAACTCTGAACCCGGTCAGTCCTGGAGAGAGGATCTGACACCAGGCTTCTGCCATACCCTGCAGTGCACTAAGCAGGTCTTACCTCTGGGGCTTCTGTGATTCGCCAGATGGTGGGTCCCTCATGCAACCTCATCTCCAGGAGTTTCTTGCCTCCCCACTTCATGTCCTGTGCTCCTGTCAGGGCCATTTGCTTTCTGAATTTTGGCACTGGCTATTTGTCAGGCACTTTGCTAAGCACTTGATATACATTATCTTGGGTCTTCTTATAACAACCTTGGGTGGTAATGCTATTATTATTGTTTTCTCCTCATAACACATCTAGTAAGTAAGGGCTCTGACATTTAACCTTGGACCAGCCTCTCTACACTGAAGCCCATGACCCTTTCCCATCCTGCTTCCTGTTTTCATAACTGTGTATTTCTTCAGCCTATCACTATTGAATCTTCTCAGTTTGTCTCTTTTTGTTTCATTCTTTTTTTTTTTTTTGAGTCGGAGTCTCACTCTGTCGCCCAGACTGGAGTGCAGTGGCCGCTCCCGGCCACCTCAGCCTCGACCTGCTGGGCTCCAGCGATCCTTCCGCCTCAGTCTTCCAAGTAGCTGGAACTACAGGTGTGCGCTACTATGCCCGGCTGATTTTTTGATTTATTGTAGAGATGAGGTCTCGCTGCCCAGGCGGGTCTCAAACTCGTGGGCTCAGGCAATCCACTCACCTCAGCCTCCTAAAGGCGCGGGATTACAGGCTGAGCCAACAGGCCCGGCCTTGTTTCATTCTTTAGACCCATTTTTTTCCCCCTCATTTTTACCATCTTGCTGAACTGACCTTTATTTTCTTTTCCTTTGGTGTCTACTTTTAATAAAGTAATCTCATGAAATTTGTCCCATAGTATTTCAGTAACCTTACCTCTTAGGAAATTATTGACTGGAAAAAAAACAAAAATAAATTTAAAAGCATATCTTTTCAACTATGGGAGTAACCTTTTCCTCTAATTTGTAAAATATACTTAACAATTTTGTGTCATAAATTTTGGAGGAAAGTTGCATAGGAGCTTGATTTATAGTGTTGTATATACTATTGATGTTCAATACACATAATTATAAACTTAAAAATTCACTAAGAAAATATTCAAGAATATTGTCTTTAAAGTTCAGAACAAGAGTTATACTACATGTCTAAAACTTATACTGTATTAGTTAATAGGCTACTTTTCTCCTATGTAACTTTTTATATTTTGCTTAATAAAAAGAATCTGAAGGCATAGCCATGTGAAAAGAGAAAAATGGGATAGTAGTTTCAGAAAGTATATTTTAATATTTTATTAATGCAATTGTTTTCTAGTCTTGAAGATATAGAAAGTATGTCTAAAAAGGGTTTTGTTTCTATTGTGAATATAGACTCAATGATACAGCCTTAGTTATCTAGCAAAGCATACTTAAAGCATACTTTTTGTTTTGAAGGAAAACCAAGTTGTTTGATGTATCCTCTAACCTGTATAAGTTTATTGCTCGGAAGATAGGACTATGAAGGAGTATTACCAAGAGATCCCATCTTGGGATCCATTCTTGTTTATTTTGTGTATAGTCTATGTGCATGTATACAAATGAGTAAAGCACATTCTGGAGAGATACACACGCAGCTGTAACAGTGATTGCATCCAAGGAATATAATTAGGATTGGGGCTTGTTGAGAACAAGGAAGCCCTCTTTCTTCCCTTTACTTCATGTATTTCTGTGTTCGCATTTTTTTCAACAAGCATAAGTACATTGCCAAAAAAAAAAAAAAAAAATCAATGAAAACAGCATTACTTATAATAAATCTTGTTCATATCCCAGTTCCACAGCCTCCTAGATTAGAACCTCAGGAACCAAATTCTGCCACTAGCACGACGATTGCTGTTTATTGGAGCATGAACAAGGAAGATGTCATTGACTCATTTCAGGTTTACTGCATGGAAGAGCCACAAGATGACCAAGAAGTAAATGGTAGGATTGCTGACATAAATACAAATGCATGTGTATATTCATGCACCTTAATATTTAAGTTTTTAAACATATATATATATATATATATATTACAACTCTTTCCACAAAGCATTTATAGTCACTCACAAAACAAAAACAAAAACTTAGCAACCATAAAGTGAAATAATAACATAGGAACAAAATCTGGAAGTCAAGATCAAGAAAAACAAAAATGTGTGAATATCATCATAGTTAACATGAATATTTTAATTGAGATTCATATTTGGCTTTGAGCTCTCAGAATAACAGGTGCAATTAAGTGGGTCTCATTTTCAGAAAGGAGGTAACATACCTGAGTTTCAAGGAAACGAAGTTTTTATTAGTACTGAAGTCTAAAAGGCAAGTGCCATGTGTCCCACTTTATGGAGGAGAAATCAGCTGTGTAAGGACAGTCTGTCATTGTGGTTTGAACGCACATGAAGCATTGGATGTCATGGTTGGAAGCTTCTCAGGTCTACCTTTGATAAAAGCCACAAACTGTAAAGTTTCTGCACTGTTCACACTGCTCAAGGCAGGGGCCTAGGTGCATTACTGTCTTCTAGTGTTCCAAGTTAATGTGTGGCTAGAAGTGAAAGTGCTTAGTAGGGTGGATGGATGGTGTGTCTCAAGCGAAGCCAGCAGTTGGAGGGAGTCTGAGCTGGCAGTGCTGTCGTCCTGTGTTGCTTGTTGATGACGGACCTGCATGCTTTAGAATCCAGATGAGCACATGGTAGGACAGGGGTCCCATTGCAGAGCTCAGGAGCACCATTTGCAATCAGGAGCACATGATAATGCATCTTACTATTACTATTAAGTCTTTTGAAATGTCTTGTGATAATTCAGAAAAAAGTTATAAAACATAACTGTAGGCATAGTGTAAGGTTGGTTAAGACTCCCATTTTATTGAGGACTTATTTCTATACTATAGTAAAAACACACCTTATTTTGTTATGATCCCCATTTACAAATGAGTAAACTGATGTGAGGCGAAGTGATTTGCTCAAGGCCACATGACTTGTACATGCCAGGGATAGGATTCAAATGCAGATCTTTCAGACTTCAAAGCTTATGTTTTTATTTGCTTGTCTCTGTTCACTTTGTTACACACTTCATCTCCATCTATATCTAGCTGTTTCATGAAATGCCATGGCTCGCCATTATTTCTCTTCACAAGTAGTTATTGCCTGGAGTACTTTTTAAATGTGCTTCTCCTCCACTCCCCCCAACTCCACATCAAACTCTTCCCTGTCATGTGTCTCACGGATTCTGTGCCTTAAAATGTACTGATGACAGTTAGCAAATCTGATGATTTACTCTGTGTAACAAGGTTGCCAGTAGCATATATTTTGTGCACTGGTAAAGGGAATGCCAGGGTAATAGGATTTCACCTAAAGAAATGATTCCAGTGTCAAAGGCAGTCACAGTTTCTGGACTGTGGGAGACACATCTTTTCAGTCCTTATGACATTCCTTAAATTGAACTTTCTGTCCAGAAAGTCTAGCTCACTGGAAAAGAGAGAGGCAATTGAAGAGACCAGCTGAGTTGAAGAGCTCCTACATTTCTTTTAAAGAAGCTATTTGGGTTCTTAACTGGAGGAGTTTGAAGATGTGATATTCAAAAATAGTAAGGGAGAATAACTGAAATTACCATAGGCTAATTTTAAAAAGAAAACCATTCTCTTTAAAGGAGAGAAAGTTTCAGTGAGGATAATCAGATTGGCTCAAAGGGGCAGGAGTTCACAATGTTACTGAGTCATATTTACTATAAAAATATCTAAAGTAAAGTCATATACTACTTTTTTGAACAAAAAAAAATGAACAGGCTGGGTGTGGTGGCTCATGTCTGTAATCCCAACACTTTGGAAGGCTGAAGAGGAAGGATTGCCTGGGGCCAGGAGTTTGTGACCAGTCAGGGCAAGATAGCAAGACCCTACCTATTACTGTCAAAAATAAAAATAAAAAAAAATAGCTGGGCATGGTGGTATGCCCTTGTAGTCCAGGATACTTCAGAGGCTAAAGTAGGAATATCGCTTGAGGCCAGTAGTTGGAGGCTGCAGCCAACTATAATCATACCACTGCATTCCAGCCGGGATGACATAGCAAGACTCTGTGTCTTAAAAAAATACAAATAAAAGTAAAAAATTGAACAAAAATAAAAAAGTTCACTTGAACTTTGAACAAAGTAGCTTCTTAGTATAGCTTATGGTGTAGCAAAGCTATTTAAGTATTTCTGTAAATTGTAGAAATCTCTAGTTGAAAGAATTCTGGAATGAGAAGGAATTTGAAACTTGGAAAGTCATACTAAATACCAAAATAGTTTACTAATCTGTAAAGATGCTTTGTAAGTTTAGAAAACATGGGGTTGTCCTTGTTTAATGATATACTCTTCTGAATTATTGGCATTCGTTCTTAAGATTTTCTTGAGAATGTATTACTGAGATTTACGCTAACACAAACTCTATGCAATTTTAATATTTGTTGTTGAAATAAATTACTTTAATTGTGGTATATGAAGCTGAGAATCTTCCTAATATGCTATTATTTTCTGGTAAGTGTTCACAAGTAATACTATGTCATTCAAAATATCTCTTTTCAAAATGCTATTGTTTCCTTATGTATTCTGAAAAGCTAGTTATCGCATAGAGATTTCTGTAAGGTTATCAGTTTGAGTTTTCTGCTGGAAAAAAGAAATCATATGCTGCTTTTTTCAAATAACTATAATTTTCATTTAACTTGGATGGCACCTTAGAGTTTATGATTGTGTTTTTTACTAGAGTTGGTAGAAGAATACAGAGTGACAGTGAAAGAAACCTACTGCATTTTTGAAGATTTGGAGCCTGACCGATGCTATCAAGTGTGGGTGATGGCTGTGAACTTCACTGGATGTAGCCTGCCCAGTGAAAGGGCACTTTTTAGAACAGGTGAGGAGGTGCTAAGGGGTGTTAGGAAGCAACATGTATTCTTGATCAACCAATAAGCATTTATTAAGCACCTATCATGTGTTGGGTATTGTCCAAAGTGCCGGGTAAACAATGATGAATACAACTGGGATCCTGTTTTTGGAAAGCTCATAGTCAAGTGGGGGAGATAGAAAAGCAGAGGATAGAGAATGTGTGGTGAGGGCCATGGTCTAGGTATGCGCAGGTCATTCCATGAGCCTTCCTGAGGAAGGCTGACAAGACAACCTGGCAGGGCAGGGGAAGGAGATTCTCCTGGAGCTGATGCCTGCATGAAATGCTTTCTAGCAAGCATGCCCAACCTGCAGCTCACTGGCCACATGTGACCCAGGACAGCTAGCAATACGGTCCCACAAACATCTTTTAACATCATGTGTTTTTTAGCATTTATTTACTCTGTGACCTCATGTATAGTTCCATTTTTGAAGTTCATAACCATGCCTTATTCATGACATTGCTTTTTGGCAGCATATGCATTTGTGAGCAGCTGTTTTCAGTTATGCACAAAATTTGAACAAAAATTTCTAAGCACCTTGAGAACTCACTAAGAATTGTGACCACTTCCATCAAACCAGACATTTGCAGATTGGTTTTATAAAACAAGGCCAAATTTCCCACTAGTTTTATATTCTAGTTTTATATGTTCTCACTTTTCTAAACTTCATAATAAAAATATTTTTTAAAGTCTTATTATGTATGTATACTATATTATATAATTTTTGTGTGGTCTAAGACAATTCCTCTTTACTCGATATGGCTCAGGGAAGCCAAAAAGTTGGATACCCCTGCTTTAGAAGATCAGCAAGAAGTGCTGTGCTAAATAAAGGAGCAGGTTACACTTGAAGGAGACGCATGAGCAGAGGCATGGAGGGAAGAAACAGTATGGCACATAGGGCACTGTGGGAAGTGTGGGATTGCTTCCTAAAGTTAAAACCAAAGCACACAAGGCTGGCATCTGAGGCCGTGTGTGCCAGGGGAGGGGCTCAGGCCGCAGTACATGGTTACCAGGTGGCCCAGAGGTTTCAGCAATTGTTTCCAACGGGAGTGCATTCTCATGATAAAATCTCCTCACAGGGCTGAGCAGGAGACTCAACCAAGGCTGCATGGCCTTTAAGACAACCGAAACAGCCTCAGGGAAAAACAGCTAATCGCCTACCCCCTTCATCTTCTCCTCTTGCCCTTTAAAACATGTCTTTATGGAGCACCTGCTGATGATAAGAACATGGCTACCTTTTGTGAAGAGGGAGGGGGCAAGAATTTTTATCTTATTTGCTTATAGATGTTTGAAGGAACTCTTATGGGACTTATAGGAAGCTGATGTTAGAGGCTGTTTCGAAATGGGTGAGAACTGTGCAATTTGGAAAGCAGAAGATGTCACTCTATACATTTTGATACCTTTTGGGTTTTCAACTCAGAATAAACTTTCTGATAAAAAATTAAAAGCAAAATCATGCCCAAGCATTCCTCCTGGATAGCTGGAGAGCAGAGCTAGCACTGCCCCACGGTTGTCTTGTTTCTGTCCCTACAGCACCCTCGACACCTGTAATCCATGCTGAGGACTGCACCGTGTGTTGGAACACAGCTACCATCCGCTGGCAGCCTGCCACTCTGGAGGCCACGGAGACCTACACTCTGGAGTACTGCAGACAGCACTCTCCTGAGGGTGAGGGCCTCAGGTAAGGGGCCCTCTCTGCAGGGGACGGGGGTGTCTAGAGCCCCAGGATGAGCTCAGAGCCCTAAACTCAGCTTACTAAGGGACAAAAACATCCAAAATCCTGCTGAGCTAGGTAAGCTGCTGACCTGATTTGCAGCCCCATCACTCCTCATCAATGAACTCCACGCTTGTGATAAAAAGATGCTGCCACACAGAATAATCACTCCTTTGGAAGAAAAATGTATGCGAATTTTAATGATAGAACATTCTTTGGGGTATATTTAACTTCAGTCATTAGACAGGATTTATGCATATTTTATGCACTTTTTACTAGTGGTATCAGAATCGGCACCACTTGACTCAGGAAACTAATAACAAGCTTGTGTATGATGTAAATCTGAACATCTTCATGATGCATTGATAGCATAAAGGAACAAATTAATTGTATGTGATCACAGATATACCTGCCTCCCCAAAAAGCATGTCGAATCTGAAAGATTCTTCTAGGAAAAAAGACATAGGAAGATCTCTCAGGAAAATTATGAAGCTAACATTTTTCAAAAAAGGACTGTGCCCCCAGTAGGCATTTGGTAAATGTTGGCTTATCTACTGAGGTGGTCTTTTCTTAACCTCCCATCTTCTAGCTATAGAGCAACTTCATGTACCATGATGAAAATTCAGATTCAGTGTAATGTCATGATTATGTTCATCGCGGCCTCAACTTCCTAGGCTCAGTGGTTCTGCAGCCTCAGTCTCCTGAATAGCTGGGACTGCAGGTGTGGGCCACCATGCCTGAAAAATTTTTTCATTTTTTTTGTAGAGACAAGGTCTTGCTATGTTGCCAAGGCTGATCTTGAACTCCTGGGGTCAAACAATCCTCTGGCTTCAACCTCCCAAAGTGCTGGAATTACAGGCTTGAGCCATCATGTCTGGCCTAGATTAGTATTTATATTCATATTTTATAGAGAGATTTTTAGTTTTTCTTTTTAGCCAAATTGACTGAGGTAAATAAACTATTTTGTTAGGATATGGGTGTTAGGAATAATGGCATGAAATTAGCTTTTTAATAAAGTATATTGATTATGTTCATGGTCAAGAACTGTTTATGTGAGGTTTCATATGACTGAACAATAATTATAGTTTCTTTCAAGTTGAAGACAAGTGTCACAAAATAATGATCAGGGGATGAATTAATATCAGGCAGGGTGCATTTGGGTGGGATGTTGGCAGAAGTACAAAAAACAACATCTCTGTTAACATGCCAATTGCTGGAAGCCAGGCTTCAGGAATTAGCAGATAGCAGAGAGGTGAACCCTCTGACCAGGACAGAGAGAGAGAGAGAGAGAGAGAGAGAGAGAGAGAGAGAGAGAGAGAGATAATGAGAGAAAGAGAGAAACTGACTTTTATCAGGCATCTACTTTGTCAGTCCCTGTCCCAAGTGCTTCAGGTGTTACCTCATTTAATCCTCACGAGAACTCTAACAGAAAACAGACACTTTAAGAGGTTACTCAGCCAGTTAGTGGCAATCAGGATTCAGACCTCATTTTGTCAGATTTCAAAGTCCCAGCTGCTAACCCTGTCTTATGTCACTCAGGGGAGTCCTGGGCCTTACCTGCAAAACCCCTTGGTGCTATGAGACCTCTGTATCAGGTTTGCCCTGCCCCGGAGTGCTCTCTCCCACCGTTGCTGCCATCAGTGAGGAAGCCCCGCTCAACCCCGCTCGCTCTGAGGCAAGACCAGCCTGGAGGGGAGGGCCCTGAAGGGCCTCATTCCTCTTGCTGCCTCAGCCCCTTGCTGGCGTTTACATACATCACATCAGCACAGTTGGATACTTACATCAGCAGAAATCTGAAGCCCTGAGACCTCATCGCCCTCTCTCTGAGGGACTGTGATGCCACCTCATGCAGAAGGCTGCAGGGGAAGAGTGGGGGATGGCGCACTTTCAGGGAGCTTTCTTCTCTCCGTTAATTAGCTCTGCAGTCCTGTGGGGTGGGTGGTGATCTTTGTCATGCGGGACTCAGAGAGGGCAAATAGTCTGGCCAGGGCAGGAAGTCCAGTAAGAGTTTGGGGGTCAGGATTAAAACCCAGGCTTGTCTTATTTTTTTCACTCTTTTAAAAACTGTTGTCATTAACAGGCTGTGCTGACGTACCTCACAGCCTGACACCTGGGACTCACTGAGTATCCTTAGTCTCTTTTGTCGCATGAAGAACATAGATATGAAGAGAGAATGCACTGCCATTCATATCCCCTTTGATTAATGTTTTTCTTTTTCCCGATCATCCTGGAGCCCCATTTGTAGGGGGGAAAAGAAAGGACCCATTTCATTAAGACCAAAGTTGTGCTTATTAAAACATAAGACTTTTCATTATTCTATTTGAGACTTTGCCAATGAATTCATTTGAATTTTCTTGTTGCAGGAGAGTATATGAGGGGCTGGCTTAGCAGAATTTTATAGGAGTTACAGAACAACACAAGGGGTTCTTTGTTACTGAGTGGATGTAGTCCAGCAAGTTAGGAAGCGAAGGGAAATTCCACATCAGAGCCCTGTCAATAGTTTGAAGCTGTGTTGGAAATGGAGCTGTTTTCCAGCTAGGTGCTAAAAGAGCCTTCAGTGCCAGGAGAGCCAATGGTCTGTCCAGTCCTCAGCCCAGGGCTGAATCTCCAGCCTCTGGATCTCTGCTGAGTCTGGCAATAGATAATTTTTGGAAGCAAGTGCAGAATTTTCTTGACCATAAATTACTACCCTGTTCATTTGCTAAGTCTATTGCTGACACACCACGTCAGAGCCACCTTCATCCATACAAGCCTCGATGTCTTACTCTCTAGGTTGGTATCAAGAGAGACTGTGAAATAATTCATCCCAAGAGGCCCAGAGCTGCAAAGTTCATATATATCTTTTTGATTCTCCAATGTAAGAGTTTGGGAGAGAAGAAAATTCTACTCTTTGGGAATGGCCATGTGTTGTATCTTCTGACCATCTGGTTCTCACAACCAACTTTAAAACATTCCTTACAAGGTCTGATGTTTCAAAATGCTATAAAATATCAACTATTTAACTACAGTCTATATAGATCAGTCTCTAAGATGGCAGCCATGGAGAACCAGTCTGACTGCAGAATTGGTAAATATAGAACCTTAAAACTTGATCATTTCTGGTCAGCCAGTGCAAACACTCTCTCCTTTTTCCTCGATGTCTTCGAACTATATTCTTCACTTTCGTTTTCTGCACAGCAATGGGTATGTAAAGTTACTTTGCCTCTTGGAAAGAACAGCAAGCCAAGAGTTGTCTGATCTTATACCCTTGTTTTTCCACGATGGGATCATTATTATGTAAAGTTGTAGCCTCAGTGCCTGGGACAGCGCCCGCCATATTGTAGCTACTCAACCAAAATGTGTTACCTGAATGGGTAAATACAGATCAGCATCAAACACGTAGTACTGACTAATTATAAAAGATAGGCCAGCTTCGAAAATAATCTTTTATTCAAAATAGGGAAAAAAAATTATGCCAACAAAGTAAAGAGGAATAGGTGACTGACTTAATTTTAGTGCTTGGGTACTTAATCAGGAGACAGGACTAGTCTAATCTGTGGACTGGAAACCCTCTCATGGGTCACTCATAGGCAAGAGCCTTTATAATCTTGCTTATTCATTGGTTATATAACCCTTATACAGGTTTTGGGTTTCACGCAAAAACCCTATACTACTAAACCAGATCCAATAATTGATCCGGAGGTCACTGAAAGGGAGTAAGGGACGTCAGTGATGACTTCCTTTGGATGTGGCTCAATTTGACTGAGCCCAGACCATAAACTGGGTGAAGATGGAGAACTTATCTGTGTTTCTTAATAAAGATTAGCCAATCTTCTTTCGTCCTTGCCTACTTCAAGACATCTAACTGGCTGGGATCTCAAAAGAGAGAGGGAGCAAGAACTAAGTGAGTTTACATCCCTTTTCCACCCCCAATTCCTGAAAAAACGGGCAGCCTCAAAAGCTCTGGTCTAGTGTTGAAAGAGAAGTTGAAGGGAAATGAAAAAAAGGGAGAAAGATGAGTAATATTAAATCACACACACGGAGACAGCATTGTCTGTCCTCTGGATTGGGCAGTCCAATGTGATTGCCAGAATGGAAGCACATCCATCTTCAGAACTGCGTTCCTTCTGCCTGTGTGATGGCCTCCAGTGATTCCAATTTAAGACCAAAGGTGCTGCTCAGACTCCCACGGTGGGTGTTTGAATGGATTGAGCCTGCTGCCCCCGCGCTCCATGACGCAGTGTCTGAAATAGCTGAGCAATCGCCTCCATCCTATAATCCTCCCAGAAAACACATTTGCATATTCTTGTGTGTGGGCATGAGGCTCAGGCCCAGCAGTGGGCCCCTGTGGGGATTGGGGTGGGCGGGAGTGACAATCCCGGCTTGTGTGCAGAGGGCTGAGGGAGCTCCTCCTCACCCTCTTCCTGTTTTTCTTTGAATGCTCTCCTCAGGTTGGGTGGGCTCAGAACACTTGCAAAAATGTTCCACTGCTCTGCTGTTTCCTCAGCTGTTCTGTGTCTCCTGTGTGGAGAGAAGTCAGCAGAAGTGTGGGTGGAGGAGGGAAAACTGAGAGAAATATAGTACAGGGACTAGCTGTGTGGTTGTGCAGAGAAGCCGTGTATTGAATGACAAATCTGTGAGACTCAATACACCACCAAGTCATTGGGGGGAAGCCTCCGACACCCTGGCCCCGGCCGAGGCTGTGGAGTGAGGGGTATTCCCAGAGAAGGTAGGCTTGGGTGCTGGGCCTGTGAGCCCGTATTCCTCCTGCTTCCAGCTTCAGGCCCACACCTGGTGGAGTAGGAACAGAATTGCCTGTCGTGGGCAGCGTCTCAACTGGGAACACCCGCTACTTGGGCTGCATAACAAGGAGAGAAAAGGGGGAGTTTCCTGGTGAACTTAGTGCCTGAGCAGGAACCAGGAATCCTAGCATTTTTTTTTTTTCTTATTTTAAAAAACGTTCTGACTGAGCTTTCAGATGGGTAGGT